GTTGTGGAAGTTTTTATATTAGTGCTAAGATTATCCCACAAACCTATTCCCTGAATCACAGTCCTTCAAACTTTTCAAAGATACCCTGTTCCCTATGATTAAAGTGACTTTTTTAACAGATTTTGATTGAATAATTAAAAGGTAATATTTTTTATGATCTTTAAACATGAGCTGTAAAATACCCCAACCAGCCATTCAGTAATTGAAGTATATATGCATGTTACAGGCACTTTAAACTTTAACAGAAGATAAAACATTTGCTCTGAAACATTACATTACTCACGGTAGAGGATGATAGGCAGGGTAGAGTCACATTGTGTCCCATCATCCATAGTATAGAAGCACATTGGTTTCATGTCCCACTCAGTCAAACTTTCTACTGTCCACTCCAACACAGTTTCATTTAAATTGTTTTTTTTTCCCACGGAGATCTCCAAATCTTTTAGTTTGCCTAAACATTCAGTCTTGCATATGTCACATCTGGCTGTGGCTGAATCCTTGTACTTCACTACCAGGCTGGATGGAGTGAATACAGGGTTGTCTGCACAGACTGGAAGAAAAAGCACACCAGATATTATTTAAACTTCAGCATTAAATATTGTAGTGATGTTCAGACAGGCTGCCCTGGATATTTATCATGTTTGATTCACTAATCAGCATTATGGTTTTGCTAAATGACTCTGGTTTGTGTGATTCTGAGTCACAATGGGTTGTATCTATTCCTATTATTTTTATTTTTTAAATTTATCTATAGAAAACTAAGGCATTTTCATTCAACGATTCAGTATTTTCCCCTTCTTCTACAGGTCCTTGCAGAACAATCTCTGTACGGATTTAAATTCTGTACTTTACAACTTAGTAATGTTTACAAATTCAAGTAGGCACATTTTTGTGCTAGATTTTATTCTTTATTTTATGTGTGTAGTTATCTCTGAAAGTAAAACTCTTTAATWGCATCTTATGTTGTTCTGTGTAATCTCAGTACTTTGAGATGAATGTTGATATTGTTTTAGAAACAATTGTTGCCTGTCCCTGTCATGTGGTTTGCTTTTAAAATTTATCTGTACCTTGACCTCTCTTCTCTGATTGCAAAGATACCTAAACATTATTTGGAGTATTAAAAAAAGAAAAAGGATACTTTATTTTTGGACTTAAATTAAAGAAAAACCAGATTTGTGCAGCAGTGATTTTATTTATATTTTTTAACGTAATAATTCAGTTGAGGTTGAAAGTCTCCCCGTGTTTCAGAATAAAGTTAAGAGCAGCTCTGTAAGGTTCTAAAGACTTAAACCTTTAATGTGGACAAAATCATTATGATTTCCATCATTTAAACAAAATGTCTATTGGACCCCCAGGGGTCATCACCCTCCTTAAAATGGCCCTGCTAAATCCCATTATCAAAAAAAACTAGCTGTAAATGGCTCACTTTTACAGATGTTTTGGTCAATTTTGTTGATGTAGCTATAATTCATCCACATAATAAAATCGGAGCTCTAACACATCTCATGAGATCTCACAATATTGCATGAAATGCCAYGTGAAAGAATTTACAAGGTTTCACTAAAACGGCTCAATATTGAAACATCTATAACACAGATACCAGAACTCCGATATCAATTCTAAAATCTAAATATCAATACTTTGATACTTCAGTCGTTTCAGGTAACATTTATCATCAACAGGAACWCAATGGAAAGTAACTTTTGAAGTCTTGTTTAAATAATATGCAGTTGTTGGGAACTACTTTTTCTTAAAGCATAAGCGTAGTTTCATGTTAATATGTTCATGTAACGTAAATTAAGATGCAAGTTTTCATATTTTTAGTAGTTCTTGATAGTTAGACTTTATTTCAGTGGTTTTATTACCTAATTTTTTTTAAGTTTAAAACACAATTATAACATATTTTATGATTTTGTCCTCTGTTTTTTTCCTGTTGTGTYAGCTCTGTTATATTGTAAATATGGATGCTACAACAATATCCTTTTGAGTATAAAATGAAATAAATTACCCTATCTTGTATCTTTTTATGATTTGAAATATACTACTTTTTTAGATTTACCAGACACATTAGCAGAGGTTTATAGTAATTAAGTACATTTACTTTGT